CCTTCAGTAGCTACATGGTGTCTCTCTGACTCCACCTTCTTTCCTCTTCTTCCTCTCTCTCTCTCTTCTTGGATTTCCCACCTTGCTATATTCTGCCTTGTCATAGGCTAAAGCAACTTCTTTATTAACCAACGGTAATAGAGCATATTCACAGCATACAGAGGGAAATCCCGCATCAACACAGAGACTTCTTAGTTATGAAAGCTTGGCTGATACCTTAGTTTTGGTCCTAACTTATGGGCAGAGTTTCTCTGTGGCCTGGCAGTTGCTCCCAAATAACCATCCAGAGACTTAAGATTACTTATAAATGATTGACCAATAGCTTAGGCTTGTTTTTAGCTAACTCTTATAATTTAAATTAACCCATTTTTATGTGTGCTGCCCTGGGCTCATTTACCTCATCTATGAAATTTCATGTTGCTTCTTTTGAGTCTAGCTTGTGGCTCCTCAGACTCCGCCCTTCTTCTTCCCAGCATTCTTTCTGCCCCCAAAATCCTGCCTACCTAATGACCAATCAGCTTTTTAGTAACAATGAGAGCAACGCATTTCACAGTGTACAGGAATGATTATTCTACAGCACGAACTAGTTTGTTGTTGGTGGTGGTGGGTTTTTTTGTTTGTTTGTTTGTTTGTTTGTTTTTTCTAGACAGGGTTTCTCTGTAGCTTTTGGAGCCTGTCCTGGAACTAGCTCTTGTAGACCAGGCTGACCTCGAACTCACAGAGATCAGCCTGCCTATGCCTCCCGAGTGCTGGGATTAAAGGCGTGCATCACCAGTGCCTGGCTTCTAACTAGTTCTTATAATTTAAATTAACCCATATCTTTTAATCTACATTCCTTTATGTGGCTCAGTTACCTTTACTAATAGACAAGGCCCTAACACCAGTGACGACTCCAAGGCTTCTGTTTACCTAAAAGTTACAAAAGGGAATGGCAGGGTAAATGTCCCCTCTGCCCCTGGCAGTGTGCTGAGCTGTGGGCTGTGAAGCTGCCTACACAGGAAAGAGTCCAGGAGAGAGCACATTAAAATGCCCAGGTCCAAGCTGCCCAGGTGCAGGTGACTGGAGAGCTCTGCCAGGCTAGGTTCACAGTGTAAACCCTTTCCCCCATGCCTTCTGGCAAAATCCTCAGATCTGCCAACCCCAGTGCCTTTGTTTGCCTGCTTTGGCACTCTGAAGGCCTCAGCCAGTTAGCAAGGTTGAGCACTGGCAGCAGCATTTAGTTAGCTGAATACTTCCTTATATTTTCCTGATTTGTTCTCATAAAAAGTGACCTTAGCCTAACTCCTGTAGCACATGATTGTGGAATGTACCCTCCTGGAAGACACGGCCTTAATTTTCACCATGGGTAGGCTGAAAATATGCAAAAATTATTTTCAAGCCGGGCGATGGTGGCGCACGCCTTTAATCCCAGCACTCGGGAGGCAGAGGCAGGCGGATCTCTGTGAGTTCGAGACCAGCCTGGTCTACAGAGCTAGTTCCAGGACAGGCTCCAAAGCCACAGAGAAACCCTGTCTCGAAAAACCAAAAAAAAAAAAAAAAAAAAAAAAAATTATTTTCAGATTCAACTTCAGATGAGTTTGTTTGGGTTATGATAATAATGAATGTTAGGATAATGTGCTGTGTTACTGGTATTTGATAACTTATCCATCTTTATAAACCTGTGTGTGTATGTGTGTATGTGTGTGTGTTTTCAGACCTAGGGCTTTTATCCCAAGCTTTAAGAATGCTAGGCAGCATGTTCCTCGGGCTGCATCCCTCAGGTTTCACTGTGTTACAAGGCTCGCCCTGAGCTGCTGGGCTCAAACCATCCTATGTGGCCTCAGCCTCCTGAAGATCTGGGACTGAAGGCATGTGCCACAGTGCCCAGCGACATAGATCATGACTGGATGTCACAAAAGTCGTAGTCAAATAAGTATGTCACTGACTTGATACATCAGTCAAAGCTGATAACTCAGTTCCAAGCCTTGGGGTCTTGAATTTTCCATTTACTAGTGCATACAGGCAAATATGGAGGCTAAATCAACATTTATCATCTCTATTTATAAATCATGGGGAGGGAATGCCAGAACTCCCAAACCTGTATGTTCTCAGCCACCTGAAAACAGAACCACTTCCGTTCTCTTCTGGGTTTTGGCTTTGAATGTACATCACACACTTAATGGGGTGGGGATTTACACACAGGCCCTGCTATCCCCGAAGGCACTGTGGCAATTTGGCATCCACTGAGGTCTGTCTGCGGAACCTGCCTCTGCTTTTCACCTGCATGGTCTGCATTGCCCTTCGGCAGGAAGCTGCCTCAACTCCTGTTCTCACTTCGTATAGTAATCTCACACTTGTGTGCTTCAACTTACAGTGTTAGCTGCGCCATTTTTCCCTAGAAAAGGCAGCTTTATGCTTTTGTACATTTGATAATGTATGTCCTAAGCAAATAAAGACAAGCCTAGTATCCTATATGTATGTATTTTACTTTATTTATTGTGTGTGTGTGTGTGTGTGTGTGTGGGCAGGTGGTTGTGATGTGGAAGTCAGAGGACAACTTGCTGGAGTCAGTTTTCTTCTTTTACCTCGTGGGTCTTGAGCATTGGATTCAGGTCATAGTTTCAGCAGCAGTGACCTTTACTGGCCAAGCCCCCTTGCCAGCCTCGAGCCTGTTATAATAGGTATCCAAATGTGTGTTGAATGACTAGTGCATACAGGCAAATATGGAGGCCAAATAGATATTTATCACCGCTATTTATAAATAAGGGAACTGGAGTTTGTATTGGACCATGTGCTCAAGAACACAAGTAGTTATTCTTAACTTCAGAGTCAGTTTTCTGAATATTAGTGGTAATAGCAGTTTCCTGCCCCCACTGTATTATTGGAATTAAAATAATTTAGCACAAGGAGAAGCTAATATGGTACTTCTTGCACCCTCCTTAGAGGAAGTGAGTAATTCTAATTTTGGAATAAAAATATTCTTCGTCTCATCTATAGTAGTGAAAGAACCAGTGTTAAATAAGATGCCACAATGTCTACCCTATGCTGCTAACCCCAAGTCTAGAGAAGAGAAACATAAATGGCTGACTAACACCAAACTGCTTCCCTTGGAGTCCATGTGCTCTGTGTCTGTCTGTCTGTCTTCATCATCATCATCATCATCACCATTATCTCTCTATCATCTATCTATCTATCTATCTATCTATCATCTACCTACCTATCTATATTTTATCTCTGTCTCTCTGTGTCTCTGTCAAGGTCTTGCTATGTAGCCCAGGATGGTCTTGAATATGTGTTTGTCTGTCTTAGTGTCTCGAGTGCTGGGATTCCAGGTGTGAGCCAGCCACCAGCCTGGCCCATAGTCTTTCTTGAAATAGAATTTCAAAGTTACAAGAGGCTTGGGAAGCCATGCAGGATTCTGGGCCTCAACCTTCTTACAACTAGACAGCCCATCCCACTGACAGCCCATCTCACTGATAGACAGCTACATCATCACTAAATTGTCATGTTATTGGAAAATTATTTGTATGAAACTGAAATTTATGCCCAGGTAAGTTCTGGTGTGAGTTCTGACTGCCAGGGCTCAGCAGAAGAAAACAAAACAGCCTTTACTTCAGATAGGCATTTCTGATGGTCAAGAGAAACAAGCATCTCTCGTGTCCCAGGAGATGTATCCCTCAACAGGCACCGCCCTACCTGCTGTCCCATCCTGGCTGTCCCACCAGCACGCCTTGGCTTGTTGGCACGTTACTGCACAGCCTCTTCCTGTGCTCTCCGTGTGATATTGGGACTGTTTTGGCAATCACACTACTTCACTGGCTCATGGCCCCACAGTTTGAGTGAGAACTTGGTTGGACTCTAGAAGGAAAAAAGCACCCCACAGATGGAGCTGAGCCCCTTTGGTCATATGAACACTACTCATGACCTTTGTGGATCCCATCCCCCCTTTCTGTGCCCTCTTTCCACACACAGGGCCGTTATGACAACAAGAGTATTATTTATTAGCCCAGACATTTTATATATACTGATTATTTCGCTTTGGGGCTAGAGAGGTTCAGAGAGGTTGGTTCTGTGTTGTATTTGGGGCTAAAGTCACAAGTGTCTAAGGTTGAGTAGGTCATCCTCTATATCTGATTCCAAATCCTAGGTTTGATGATGCCCTTAGGCACTACCAAAGGTACAATTTACACTCTGACATGTCTATTTTCTCTCTTCCTGGGTCTCACTGTGTTCTTCCTCCTTCCTCTTTCCCTTCCCCACCCCCTTATCCTCCTTTCTTTGCCTCCTCCTTTCTCTTTTCAGCTTAAAAAATTAAATTTCAGCTAAGCAGTGGTAGCACACATTTTTAATTCCAGGACTTGGGAAGCAGAGGCAGACGGATCTCTCCGAGTTCAAGGCCAGCCTGGTCTACAAAGAAAGTTCCAGAATAGTCAGAGCTACACAGAGAAACTGTGTTTCAGAAAACAAATAAAAAATTAAATTTTATTTATTACCATTATGCGTGTGTGTGTGTGTGTGTGTGTGTGTGTGTGTGTGTAAGATCTGGGGCCAGGGGGTAGGTACACATGCCACAGCAGCTCTGTGGAGTCAGTTCTCTCCTTCCACCTATACGGGAGTTCAGGAGATTAAATTCAGGTCACCAGACCCGTGTGGTGAGCGCCATTCAGACAAGGTCACTGTGTCCCAGGCTAGTTTCAAAGTCAACCCGTAGACGGTACTCTTTAACACCGGCTCTGCTAAGTGCGCCTGCCGGCTCCACCCACGAGAGACTGTTTACTCACAGCCAAGCTTCGTTAGAGTCTGATAAGCATTAACATAAACAGGATGCAAAACAGATGAACGCATCCAGAGTTTTGTTGAGAAAAAGGACAAACATAAAGGACCGAGGGAAAGATGGGTCCAGATGGAATGTGAGATTGCACCCTCCTGATTATTCGCAAAAGGGATGAAGGGCCGTGTTTCAGGCTTTAAAAATGATCCCTGCACTCAGTGCACCTGTGGCGCAAGACTGACGCTTGCTTCACTTCGGCAAGGACGTAGAGCAAACAGTTGGCTTCAGCTGCTCCTGAGTCTCCAGTGCTCTTACAAAGGTGAGTATCGTTGTTTCTCACGGGATCCTGCCTCTCTTCTTGCCCTCACTCCCCTTCATTTGCGATGAACCCTCTTTGTAGGGTCCAGACTCGTCTAGAACTCACGGTCTGCCTGGCTTAGCCTCCTAAGCGCGTTGCTGTGCCTGGCTCCTGCATAACAAGCCTATGAAGAAAGTGTTGTCTTTGTTACCATTCTGTAGGCTAGGAAACTGGCCAATGGGTGGCATGCTTGCCCAGCATGGAGAGACTCTGGTTTGATCCCCAGCTTTAGAAAAAGTGACAAGATGGCCCATGACTGTACTCCCAGCTCATGGCAGGTGGAGAAAGGAAGATCAGGCTTTGAAGCCCCTTTTAAAGCCAGCCTAGGCTACACCATGCTTCAAAAACAAACAAAAAACCTGGCACAGAGGACAAAGTTAAGCGATCCCAAAGTAACTTATCCTTTGTCCCTATTCATCTTACAGGGAACCTGAGTATGTAAAAACTCATAGGAACAAATGATTTCGTCAAAGAAAGGGCAGAGGAGCTGAGCAGAACCTCCCGGTGATCAATACATCCATAAAGAAAGGCTCAGCATTCTTTGCCATCAGGAAAATGCAGCTCGAAACCTTGAGATTGCACTCACCCCACTCAGAATGGCCATCGTGAGGAAGAGGGGTGCGAAGGGAACAGGGGACCTTTATAGGGAATCCTTATAGACAGTTTGTAGAAATGCGAATTAGTACTGTCATTGTGGAGATCAGTATGGAAGATGCCTGAAAAATTGAAAATAGAGACAGGTATAGTGGCACACGCTTGAAATTCCAGCACTCTAGAGCCTGAGACAGGAGAATCATAATTTTTAAGGCTAGCCTGGGCGATATTATGAGCCTTTGTCTTAAAAAAGAAAACCACACCGCCACAATAACAACAAATAGGGCATCATGGAGTGTGTCTTTAAACCCAGCCTTCAGGAGGCAGAGGCAGATGGATCTCTGTAAGTTCGAGGCCAGCCTGCTGGTCTACAGAGTGAGTTCCAGGACAGCCAGGGCTTCATAAAGAGACTGTCCTTAGATAGACCAGAGGTGGCACTGGCAGTGCGGTTCTGTTGTCACTGTCATCATCTTAGCTGTTCGGGAGGCTAAAACAAGAGGGGCACAGATTCAAGGCAGTCTGGGCAACTTACTAATCTTTGCATTACGTGGTACTGGAATGCCCACAAAACCATGTTTACTGCCATCATGCCCTATGCTCCTCCAAACAATCCAGGGATGTTGTCTGGACGATAGTTCATTGCCTTGTTCTATGCAATGTGGATCTGAATCTCAGGCTGTGAACCTGAGGCCTGAGAGTCAGAGCTTGGACAGGTCCCCTAGAGTTGAGTCTTGCCTGGGCACTCGGCTGCTCCTCCTCCTTCCCTCCTCTCTTGTACTGCCCCTGACAGCTCATGTATCTCTGCCCTTGCTGTCAGCCTTTTGGCCACAAGCAGCCACCAGTTCGGAAAGCATGGAGTTAGACTAAGCAGAGCTGTTGTTTTCCAGGCTCTGCTTGCCAAGTCATCTGGTCACCCTGACTTGTCACAGCACAGGGGCGATGCTCTACGGATCGTCTCGATCCTCGCATGCACCAGAGCCCAGCTGAATCTCAGCGTCTGGCTACCACACATGATTTTTTCTCCTGGTCACATGATCAGTGTTAGTGCTGTTCTTAGCCACTTTTCCACTGCTGTGAAAAGGTGCCATGACCAAGGCGACTTACAAAAGAAAGAAAGCATTTCATTGAGGGTTTACAGGGTCAGAGGGTTAGAGTTCAAGGCCATCAGGGCAGCGGGCAGGCACGGTGCGGGAGCAGTAGCTGAGAGTTTACTTCGGATTTGCAAGAGCGTGGCAGAGAGAGAGAGACAGAGACAGAGAGAGGAGAGAGAGAGAGAGAGAGAGAGAGAGAGAGAGAGAGGGATTCACACTAGCCCATCAAAAGATCTACACCTTCGTTCATTTTCCCTGGGTAGACAATAAGCCAAGCGACTGTCCTGGAAGCTTCCAGTGGGTGGGCTCGTGGAAGGGCAGCTGGCCTGAAGTTTCCTGCTTTGCCAATAAGGAGAAGTAGTTGCCTGCACTCCGGTCAGCTGAGAAGAAAGGCCCCCAACCCCCATGCTGCTCTACAACAGTGGTTCTCAACCTGTGGGTCACAACCCCTTAGGGGCACATAGCAGATATTCGTATTACCGTTCATAACAATAGCAAAATGATAGTTATGAAGTAGCGTAGCGATGAATGATTTTATGGTTCCACACGTGTGGAGCTGTGTTCAAGGGTCGCGGCGTTAGGAAGCCTGAGAAGCCCTGCTCTCGAGTCTAGACTGTGCCACCTACCAAGCCTTTTAGAGCTTCCTCACTTGGTCAGATCAGTGGCACACAGGTCCTGGGGTAGAGGGGATTGCTTAAGCTTCATAATTGAGCCCCACCCTAGGCAACGCGGAGAAACCCCTGCCTCTTTTTGTTTGGTATGTCTTCTTGAGACAAGGTCTCAACATGTAACCCTGGCTAGCCTGGAACTCTGTGCCTGGCAAACCACCACCTCTTAAGAAAAAGAATAACTTCTTAAGCCAGGTGGTGGTGGCGCACGCCTTTAATCCCAGCACTCGGGAGGCAGAGGCAGGTGGATCTCTGTGAGTTGGAGGCCAGCCTGGTCTACAGAGTGAGTTCCAGGACAGGCCAAAGCTAGAGAGAAGCTCTGTACCCCGTCTCCCCCCTAGAGAGAGAGAGAGAGAGAGAGAGAGAGAGAGAGAGAGAATAACTTCTTATAATGAGAAATATTTTATAGGGTGCTATATATAATAGAGCACACCTGAAATCCCAGGGCTTAGGAGGCTGAGGCAGGAGAATTGTGAACCTCAGACTCAACCTGGACTACATAATAAGACATTGTCTCAAAAATACTATTGTCTACGTAGAATGATATAGCATGAAATATCTTATAATTGCCTTTTGTTCACATAGGAAGATTTCCCTGAGGGTTATCCAAATTGTGGTGTATTTTTATTCTGTTACTGTCTGATTTTTTACATCTAAAAATCTATATAATTAAATATTTATTTTTTTAAACATTTCTGTTGAATATTTTAGCAACCAAAATCTATAGCCAGGGTTAGAGAGGGCATCTGGGCCATTTCCGAGGTGGGACAGCGTGCAACCATCTGAACGCTTGTCTTCACTTTAGAGCAGGGAGGACAGTCAGATCTTTATACACAACACTGACTCCTCACTGTGCGCAGAGCCTCGCTACTGAGGCCAGGCAGTGGATGTGTTCCTTGTCTTCCTTTCTCCCTCAGGCTGGGAATGTTATTCAGGGCCTCACGTATAATAGGCCCGGGCTCTGTGGCTAAACTGCATCTCCAGCCCCTACACGACATCTGTAGCCTCAGAGACACTCTAAGCCCCAGTATGTGGGGGATTGGGAGAAACAGCAGCTCCAGGGCTGAAGACAAGCAGCAGCAGTTAAAAGTGTCTGTCTCTCCTGTGGAGAACTGGAGTTCAGTTCCCAGCTCCCGCACGGGTGGCTCACCTTTAACTCCAGCTCCGGGGGTTCTTAGACCCTCGTCTGACCTCTGCAGGTACTTGCACACATATGTATATAAGTGCATACACATAAAATAAAATAAAAGTAAGATAATCGTTAAAAATATTAGGTTCAATCATTCACCTTTTATGGCAGTATCTCCCATTCACACTCCCCACAGAGACTGGCTTGCTGATTCCATGTGGACAATGTATGGCAGTCCAGACAAACTTCTCAGTGAGGTCTTCCTTTGGAATCCCTCAACCTTTTCTCTTGGCCTGCCCATGACAGTCATCCCAAAACAGGCCTTCCTGGGGAGGTGACTGTCTAGAATCCATGTCACCTAGGACAGAGGTTAGCCGATAGATGTGAATTGGGAATAGAGTTTAGTCCTTCGTAGGCCAAGAGCAGGAATCACTCTAGGCGACACGGAGCCAAATGAAAAGTCTCTGTTCAGTCAAAGTTCCCAGAAGGGGGCTTGATTTGACAGGAATATGGGGCTTAATGGACCCCATCGGAGACTACTGTTCGACAAGGTTGTTTTGAGAAGCAAAATTAATAGCTCAGAAAATGTTTGGCCAACTATGAGCGCTATATAAAATACTAGCATTTCACAACAGTCGCCTGACTTACCGCGAAGGCAGCCCTCGCTAAGTAGCTTTTTGGCTGTGTGCCATCAGGAAAGGGGACTTCTGGTGTGTGTATGTACGAGCTTTTAAATGAAAGGTCAGTCTTCATAACTAGGGAGGCTAGATGTAAAAAAAATGAATAGTACATGTCAGTGTGTGTGTGTGAATGTGTGAGCATGTGTATGAATGTGTATGTGTGTGTGAATGTGTGTATACGAATGTGTGTCTGTGTGAATGTGAGTGTGTGTATGAATGTGTGAGTGTGTGTCTGTGTGAATGTGAGTGTGTGTATGAATGTGTGTATGTGTGAATGTGAGTGTGTGTATGAATGTGTGTCTGTGTGAATGTGAGTGTGTGTATGAATGTGTGTATGTGTGAATGTGAGTGTGTGTATGAATGTGTGCATGTGTGAATGTGTGTGTATGAATGTGTGAGTGTGTGTCTGTGTGAATGTGAGTGTGTGTATGAATGTGTGAGTGTGTGTCTGTGTGAATGTGAGTGTGTGTATGAATGTGTGTCTGTGTGAATGTGAGTGTGTGTATGAATGTGTGAGTGTGTGTATGAATGTGTGTCTGTGTGAATGTGAGTGTGTGTATGAATGTGTGTATGTGTGAATGTGAGTATGAATGTGTGTCTGTGTGAATGTGAGTGTGTGTATGAATGTGTGTCTGTGTGAATGTGAGTGTGTGTATGAATGTGTGTCTGTGTGAATGTGAGTGTGTGTATGAATGTGTGTCTGTGTGAATGTGAGTGTGTGTATGAATGTGTGTCTGTGTGAATGTGAGTGTGTGTATGAATATGTGTGTATGAATGTGTGAGTGTGTGTATGAATGTG